ACCACATGATTGTGTCAATTGATGCAGAAAAAACATTTGACAAAATTCAGCATCCTTTCATGATTAAAAAAGAAAAACACTAAAATTAGAAATAAAAGGAACCAGGTGTGGTGGCTCATGCCTGTAATTTTAGCACTTTGGGAGACTAAGGTGGGTGAGTCACTTGAGATTAGGAGTTTGATACCAGCCTGGCCAACATGGTGAAATCCCATCTCTACTAAAAATGTAAAAATTAGCTGGGCCTGGTGGCGTGCACCTGTGATCCCAGTTACTCAGGAGGCTGAGGCAGGAGAATCACTTGAACCTAGGAGGAGGGGGTTGCAGTGAGCCAAGTTCATGCCACTGCACTCCAGCCTGACTCCATCTTGAAAAAAAATAAATAAATAAAAAATAAAAGGAAACTACTTCAACATAGTAAAAGCTGTATATGAAAAATACAGTGAATGTCATATTCAGTGGTGAAAGACTGAAAAGAGATTTTCCTCTGAGATCAGGAAAAGGCAAGGATTCCCACTTTCACCAATTCTATTAAATATTGTAATGGGTATTCTAGCCAGAGCAATTAGGCAAGAAAAAGAAAAGCCATCCAAATTGGAAAGAAGTAAAGTAATCTCTGTTTACAGATGATACGATCTTATATGTAGAAAACCCTAAAGCGTTAGCAGTTTCATCTAACAATGAACAATACTAAAAGGAAATTAAGAAAACAATTATGTTTACAATAGCATCAAAAAGAATAAAATACGAATTAACCAAAGAAGTGAAAGATTTTTACAGCAAAAACTATAAAACATTGCTCAAAGAAATTAAATAAATGAAAAACTTCTGCTTTTCATGGATTGGAAGCCTTCATATTGTTAAGATATGAATACTAAAAATAATCTACAGAATCAGTGCAATTCCTATCTAAACCGCAATGATGATTTTTGCAAAATTAGAAAAGCCCATCCTACAATTCATATGGAATATCAAGGGACTGTCAATAGCTAAAACAATCTTGAAAAAGAAGAACAAAGCTGTTGATTCACACTTCCTGATTTCAAAACTTAGTACAAAGCTACAGTAATCAAACAGCATGGTATTGGCATAAATTTAGGCAGACATATAGCCCAATGGAATAGAATAGAGAACCCAGAAATAGACCGGCGTGGTGGCTCACACCTGTAATCCCAGCACTTTGGGAGGCCAAGGCGGGTGAATCTCGAGGTCAGGAGTTCGAGACCAGCCTGGCCAAGATGGTGAAACCCTATCTCTACTAAAAATACAAAAAATTAGCCGGGCATCGTGGTGGAGGCCTGTAATCCCAGCTATTTGGGAGGCTGAGCAGGAGAATTGCTTGAACCTAGGAGACGGAGGTTGTAGTGAGCCGAGATCGTGCCACTGCACTCCAGCCTGGGTGACAGTGCGAAACCGCGTCTCAAAAAAAAAAAAACAAAACAAAAAACCCAGAAATAAACACTTGCATATATGGGCAAATAATTTTTGACAAGGGTACCAAGACTATTCAGTGGGAAACGGACAGTCTCTTCAACAAGTGATGCTGGAAAAACTGGGTATCTACATACAAAATAATGGAGTTGGACCTTCATCTAGCACTATATACAAAAATTAACTTAAAATGAATCAAAAGTGTACAACTGTTGTAAGGAAATGTAGGGCAAATGCTTCATGACATTGAATTTGGCAGTGGTGTCTTGGATGTAACACCAAAGGCACAAACAATACAAGAAAAAACTTTTGAAACTCAAAACCAAAAACTAATTTAAAAATGGGCCAAGGACTTGAATAGACATTACACCAAAGAAGATATACAAAGGCCAGTAAGCATATGAAAAGGTGTTTAACGTCACCAATTATTAGAGAAATGCAAATAAGAAATACAGTGAGATACTACCCTCATACTCATATTACCCTCACACTACTCTTTTCTTTTTTTGAGATAGAGTTTCGCTGTATTGCTCAGGCTGGAGCGCAGTGGTATGATCTCAGCTCACTGCAACTTCCGCCTCCCAGATTCAAGTGATTCTTACATCTCAGCCTCCCAAGTAGCTGGGACTATAGGTGTGCACCACCACACCTGGCTAATTTTTGTATTTTTAGTAGAGACGGGGTTTCGCTGTGTTACCCAGGCTGGTCTCGAACTCCTGGCCTCAAGTGATCCACTCACCTTGGCCTCCCAAAGTGCTGGGATTACAGGTATGTGCCACCATACCTGGTTAATTTTTGTATTTTTAGTATTTTTAGTAGAGATAGGGTTTTACCCTGTTGTCCAGGCTTGTCTCAAACTCCTGGCCTCAAGATTCGCCTACTTCAGCCTCCCAAAGTGCTGGGATTACAGGTGTGAGCCACTGCACCTGGCCACAGATGGCTATTATTTTTTTTAAAAATAGTAACAAATGTTGGTGAGGACGTGGAAAAATTGGAAACCTTATGCACTGTTGGTGAGAATATAAAATGGTACAGTTTTGTGGTCCTCAAAAAATTAAAAACAGAATTACCATATGATGCAGCAATTCAACTTCTGAGTATATCCAAAAGAACCAAAGGCAGGGTCTTAAGGTATTTGTACACCCATATCTATTTGTACACAGTAGCCAAAAGGTGGAAGCAACCCAAGTGTTCATTGACAGATGAATGGGTAAGTAAAATGTGGTATGTAGATGCAGTGGAATATCATTCAGCCTTAAAAAGGAAGGAAATTCTGTAATATGCTACGTCATGGATGAACCTTGAAGACATTACGCTAAGTGAAATAAGCCAGTCACACAAAGACAAATGCTATGTGATTCTACTTATGTGAAGGAGGTAGTATAGTCAAAATTAGAGAGAAAGTAGAATGGTTGTTGTCAGGGGATGGGAGGAGGAGGGAGTTACTGTTTAACAGCTGTGGAGTTTCAGTTTTACAAGATGAAAAGAAGTCTAGGCAACATAGTGAGACCTTGCCTCTACAAAACATTAAAAAGTTAACCGCACATGGTGGGATGTGCCAGTGGTCCTAGCTAATTGAGAGGCTGAGAAGGGAGAATCCCTTGTGCAGTCAAGGCTGCAGTGAGCTATGGTCACATCACTGCCCTCCCGCCTAGTTGATAGAGTGAGACCCTGTCTCGAAAAGAAAAAAAGAGTTACAGAGATGGATGATGGATAGTTAAGATGGTAAATTTTATGTGTATTTTACCACAATAAAAAAGTAGAAAATGCAAGTAAATCTTATTCATGAAAATAAATATAAATTATCCCCAGTAGAATGCAGTTGATATTACCTGTGAATATACCTGTTTTGCATCCATTTGTAAATTTCTTTCGGAACTCCTTATTCCCTATGTATGTGTAGTTGTTGGAATGTTCCTCTGAACCAGTTGTAACGTCTTACTAATTCTGTTATTAATGAGTTAAATTATATCTTTGACATATGTTTGTTTTACTGTTTTTTGAGAGTTATGATTTTTGCCATTTTCAGAAAAATATCCATTAATACTTTTTTTTTTTTTTTTTTTTGAGTCAGGATCTTGTTTTCTCACCCAGGCTAGAGTACAATGGTGCAGTCATGGCTTGCTGCAGCCTCCGACTTCTGGGCTCAAGGGATCCTTCCATCTCAGCCTCCTAATAAGTAGCTAGGACTACAGGTGCATACCACCACATCTGGCTAAGTTGTTTTTTTATTTTTTAGAGATAGGTTCTTGTGCTGTTGCCCAGGCTGGTTTTAAACTCCTGGTCTCAAGTGATCCACCCACCACAGCCTCCCAAGTTGCTGGAATTACAGGTGTAAGCCACTGCACCAAGCTCCTGTATTAATACTTTTTAACAATTAATCTGGTTGCTCTGGTGAGAAAAGACTAGAGCAGGACAATCAGAGGCAAAGACCAATTAGAAGGTAGTTGGGAAAAATTCATAAAGAAATATTGGTAACTTGGACCAGAGAAGAAATAGTGGAAATGTTAAGCAATGGTTGAACTTGGACATATTTTGAAGACAGATCTGAAAGGATTGATGGATTGGATATGGGATGTGAGAGAGGAAGGTGTGAAGGGTGACTGCAAGATTTTTGGATATTAATAAAATAAGTAATTCCTTCTCTCAAACATTTTTAGGTTGGTAATTTTTATTTTCAATTCTTAGTTGGTTTGACTAAGAAATGTAAAAGCTGGTGATCATGGCTCTTTTCTCATAAGGTATCTTTTCCACTGATTATAGTGTAATATATAATTACTGTATTGAAAACATCAATAACAACTGCTTTAAGTCAGGGTTCTGGCAGGAACCCTGTAATGGAAAAGAATTTAATAAAGGGATTATTTACACATTATGGGCAGGTTAAAGGAAATCAGCACGTGATGTTAGCCAGGTTTGCTAGGAACACCGGGCTGCTAGGAACAGCTCTTAACACTCCTAGGTGTCTAAAAAGGGAAAGAGAGAGGAAGTGATTACCTGAGTCAGCAAGAGCTGTAAGTATGTGAGAGAGCTGCCTAACAGGGGCCATTACTAGAAGAACCTCCGTAAGGAAGGGAACCACAGCCAATCTGGTCTGCTGGTGCCTCCATGCGAGTGAGGCTCCTAGGGCGCAGAGTAGAGTAGAGAAGGTTAGAGGGCGGCTTTGAAGGGTCAAATGGAAAACATACAGCATTGCAGATAACTTTTAAGCCCTACCTTAAAACAAACAAATACACGTATGTGCTTCAAGTTTAAAAATATAGCAAAGAGAGAAATGAAGAACATAATTATTTAGTGGTAGAAAATTATGAAAACTCAGTTGGGTAGATTTTAATGATATTAAATAGAATTAGTACAGCTAAAAATCAACCATAAAATTTGGTGAAGACTTTAGAGGTTTTATATCATGTTAAATGTTTCACTTTGGACTTACAAAGTTAAAAATGCTTTTTATCTTTTTTATGTGTTTTACTTAAAGTTAATTGAATATAATATTTTATAACTTCAGAAATAATAACTTAAGAAATATGCTTTATATTTCTTAAGTATTTTAAAGCTGTTTTGTTGTGTCTTTTTGTTCCCTTTAATGTAAAGTAGTTCAGATTTAGTTTAGTCCTTGAAATTTATTTCAGTTGAAAGAAAACTCAAATCACGTCTTTGTTGTTGTTAATTTTGTGTATTTAATTCATTTTGTTTTTAGAGACAACATCACACTTGAGTTTTTAGAGAAAAATCATCACAACTTTGTTGTTGTTAATTTTGTGTATTTAATTCATTTTGTTTTTAGAGACAACATCATACTTCTTAACCAGTAACGGACTCGACTGAAACACTGTCTGCGATTGGTAACTTAGCATTTAAAGGGAGCTCAGTTATTTGTTGGGTAGATAGAACTTTGTTCCATTTGCATAGACTTCTGTTGTTTGGTCCGTCTCCTATTTCAGGAGCAAATCAAGCCTATTATTCCATAAGATGGAAATTTGAAGACAGTTGTCTGTCTCTGTTCTGCTCTTCCATATTGCTAAATATTTTCTTCTCCACACTGGTTTCTACAGTCTTACCTTATTGATTTGACAATGTTCTTTCAGTCCCAACTCACCTTGCCTCAGTCTTCCCCTAGGCTTCTGTGATACCACACTCTTGGGGGTTTTCCTCTTGTTTCTTGGAGAGTGAATGTCCAGTCTCCTTGTGGGCTTTTTTTCACTCTTTTTTTTTTTTTTTTTCACAATTCCTTTAAATGTTGGTGTTTCTGAGCTGCTGCAGGTCTTACTTTTCTTCGCACTGGGCAGTCTTATCTGTCCCTATGCTTGGATCTGTAAGCTGACGACTCCCAAATCTCTCTCCCATCTCCACTTAATTCAGTCCTCATGGTTATTGGCATGCAACAACCACTTCTGAACCTGTAAAAACCATATAAAGTGTAGGGAATGTTGGTAGGAAGTATTTTTAACTTAACCTGTGAGGAAATATAGATTCAGAGAGGTTAAGTAAGAACTCAGATCTCTCTAGTGTTCAAGTACATATTTTCACTAAGTCTAAAACGACAGGCTTTGTTTTTAGCATTCTAAATTTCTCTAGAAGACATTATCTCCAATATTGCCAATCTGGGCGATGGAGCAAGACCTGTCCCAAAACAAGCAAAACCACCAAAGCCTTTCATTTTAAATTCTAATGTAGTGTTTAAAGTACATTGAGATAGCAGAGATATTGTATGCCATTTGTCAATTATATGAGAATTAAAACCTCACCTGAGCCATACTGTACTTTCTGTTTAGAAGGATGAATCATTTCTGGGAATTCAATTTTGTAATTTACGTGTGGAAAATTTAAAACTATAAGGCTTCAACATGAGTATTTTATGTACATAATTATAGGAAACCAATATTATTTGTAGCTAACTGTTGAATTAAGTTCGAAGACTTTTTAATTATTCAAAGTCTTTTTAAAAAGATTAAAGTACGCAGCTTTTCAGCCAGTATTAGTGAAGAAACATTTTGAGAGTATGACGGAATAAGACATCTTCTTAGAAATTTTAGCTGGTTTTTTTTGAGATTTGTTTTCTTCACATTTGTCTTTTAAAAAAAAAAAAAAAAAGAAGAAGAAGAAAGAAATATTCTCAAAGTTGCTTTCAAATCCCAGCACTTTGGGAGGCCAAGGCGGGAGTATTGCGTGGGGCTAGTAGTTCTAGACCCCTTGGGCAACATTGCTAGACCGTGTCTCTACAAAACATTTAAAAAATTAGCTGCGTGTGGTGGTGCACGCCTGTAATCCAAACTACTTTGGGAGGCTGAGGCGGGAGGATCACTTGAGTCCAAGAGGTTAAGGCTGCAGTGAGCTTTGATCGCCCCACTACACTCCAGCCTGGGCAATGGAGCAAGACCCTGTCTTAAAACAAACAAACAAACAAAACTACCAAATTATATGTTATTGTAGTTGTTTTCAGAGGGATGAGCTCAAGTGTAATTATGAACGTGGCTCTTCAGAATTACCTTCACCATGGATGATTGGTACGTGTTTAAGTTAAGACCCAGGTAAATCTGAAGGAAAGCAAACCATGAAACCTTTAGAGGAAGGGTGCATATTGTCTTTGTTAATGTGGTAGAGCAGAAAACTGAACATTCTAAATTTGACTTCTAGTAAAATTTTGATTAATTTATTCACCTTCATTTCCCCATTGAAAAATGGAGAAAATAGTTCCTAGCAGGCTGCATTATGAGATTGTTTTTTAGATCAATATTTAGCAAGGGCTCAAAAGAACATCACATCAGTCTTGGATGCTCTGAAATCCTACCACTTGATTGTAACTATCTTCACCATCTGGGAAGGAGCAAAGAAAAGACAATCCAAACAACTTTGCATTTCTGTTATTTGTAGTGTGTTGATAGTTCTTTCATTGACTGTATGACATATTTTATTGATCCTAAGAGACATTTCCCAGTTTTATTCACTAAAATTTGGGTGTGTCTTACAATTAGTGGCATATTATAGTTAAATTGACTTTTTTTCTTTCTCAGTGGTATATAAAATATCAGTCTTAAAATCAATCATGTCTCAGCTTTTATGAAAAACAGGATATATGTCTATTAATTTTCAAAGTAACAACAATAACAGTATAGTGGCCACCATACCTGAGGATCACTTTTTTGGTAGGTAACGTCTACTGTCTTAAACACAACCAGGAACTGGAAAGTAAGAAACAAAGGCTTCTGATGCTTAAAATCACTGTTACAGAACTCATGAAGTAAAGGCCAGGTACTTTAACTTACAAGACCCCTTTGCCTCTGAGTGTAGTGTCTTACTTTGTACGTCATTGAGTTAATCCTAGATACCTTATTACAGAGTCCACAAGGATTCAAAAGAGTAAACTGGGAGGCTGAGATGGGCAGATCACCCGAGGTCAGGAGTTCGAGATCAGCCTGGACAACATGGTGAAATCCTGTCTCTACTAAAAATACAAAACTTAGCCGGGCATGGTGGCGCACACCTGTAATTCCAGCTACTCGGGAGGCTGAGGCGGGAGAATTGCTTGAACCCTGGAGGTGGAGGTTGCGGTGAGCCAAGATCGTGCCATTGCACTACAGCCTGGGTGGCAGAGCAAGACTCCATCTCAAAAAAAAAAAAAAAAAAAAGTAAAAAGGAATGCATATAAATGTTTATTAAGTGGTGGTTCTAGGACTTACTATACTTTCTGCTGAGAATGAGTGTCCCATAAACAAACAATTACAAATTATTTTTAAAAAGCAACACAAAACTCAGAACAGGCCACTTAGAGCGATTTTTTTTTTTTGAGACGGAATCTCAGTCTCACTCTGTTGCCCAGGCTGGAGTGCAGTGGCACAATCTCAGCTCACTGCAACCTCGGCCTCCCAGGTACACAAGACTCTCCTGCCTCAGCCTCTCGAGTAGCTGGGACTACAGGCGCCCACCACCACGCCCTGCTAATTTTTTGTATTTTCATTAGAGACAGGGTTTCACTGTGTTAGCCAGGATGGTCTTGAACTGCTTACCTCGTGATCCACCTGCCTCGGCCTCCCAAAGTTCTGGGATTATAGGCGTGAGCCACCGCGCCTGACCCACTTAGAGTTATTTTAGGAGCTTGCAACCTAACATATGTAAGTTATGCTGATTACAGCTTAGAAGAAATTTCTTATCAAAATGTAATCTGATTCCACTAGCACTTTCTTTAAGGGACAATATGATTGTACCTTTAAATTTTGATTGGAGAATATTTATTATTGATTAAATTTTCCCTTATGGCTTAATGGAGTTACTAGAACATAGTTTTCCTTAAAAGTATCAGGGAAAAAAAAAAAAAAGCTTGTGGGAGGCATCTGTTACACATCTGAAATAGGATTTGATTCTGTAATTTCAGTGGTCTCTAGACCTGGATAATTCTACCCATGTTGCTAGATGGCACCAGGGTGCCATTTTTAGGCCTTAGGGCTAAGGAATGGGCGTAGGTGGTAGGAAAATGTTAGAGAGGAAAGAAGTAGGGAAGAAAAACTTTGGGACCATATTGTGATACTGAAAACTGTCTCTAGGAGTTCTCAGTGGGCAGTTGTGTACCAGGTGTCCAGCTGCATTATTTGTGTTTGAAGTAAACCCAGGCTGTGTATCTCCGTGAATTCTTAGTATTGGGTGCTTTTCAAGACATTCATTCCCCTAAGATGTGAATTTTGAGCATAGCTTGTTGGCCTCAGGCACTTTAACCTGAGAGTAGATGTTAAGTTCTGCTCGTTGGCAGGTTTCCAGCATTTACTAATTAGAGTTTCCCTACTTAAATGCTCCTGGCAGTTTCCCTTGGCCACTGTGTTCTTCAGAGTCTGCCCAAACGTGTTTTGTATGTAGTCTGCCTTTGGGCTCTGCTTAGACACTTACAGCTTTTGTTTCTAAAGAACTCTTCAGTAAGTATTGATTTGTATTTTCTTTAGTTAATAATTCATTGATTATAAAAGCAATTCACACACTAGAAAACATAAAAAGAAAAAATCCTTTTCATTCTACCACCAAATGAATCAGTGTTAACATTTTAGGGTGTGTTCATCTAGTTTTTTTGTGTGTGTGTGGGTTTATGTATTTTATGTGGAGGTAGGGGAGAGAAAAATTGGTGTAAAATGTTATTTTTTAATAATGCAAATCCTTTCAAGTTTGCTACTGGATGTGAAGAGCAACTTTTAAAATAAAATTTTTTAGAATAATTTTAGAATGTTAAGTTGTAAAGATAGTTCCCATATGCCCTTCACCTCGCTTCCCCTAGTGTTAACATCTTATGTAACCGTGGCATATGTGTCAAAACTAAGAAATTAATACTAGTACAATACTATTAATTACAGACTATTTACATTTCTTCTGTTTTTCTACTGATGTTCTTTTTCTGTTCCAAGATCCAACCTAGGGATACATATTGCATCTAGTGGTTTGTTACTGTTTTGAGACAGTGTCTCACTCTGTCTCCCAGGCTAGAGTGCAATGGCGTGATCACAGCTCACTGCACTGTTGGCCTCCTGGGCTCAAGCGATCCTCCCACCTCAGCCTCCCGAGTAGCTGGGATTACAGGCATTTGCCACCATGCCGTGCTATTTTTTTTTTATTTTTTGTAGAGACAGGGTCTCACTAAATTGCCCAGGCTGATCTTGAATTCCCAGGCTCAGGCAGTCCTCCCTACTCGGCCTCCTAAAGTGCTGGGATTATAGGTGTGAACCACATGCTCGGCCCAGCTTTATTTTTTTTAATAATAGTTTTTTACCTTTTTTCTTCTCTCTTTTTTTTTTTTTTTTTTTTTTTTTTGAGACAGAGTCTTGTTCTTGTTCTGTTGCCCAGACTGGAGTGCAGTGGTGTGAACTCAGCTCACTGCAACCTCTGCCTCCCAGGCTCAAACAATTCTCCTACCTCAGCCTCCCGAGTAGCTGGGATTACTACAGGCATGTGCCACCACCCCTGGCTAATTTTTATGTTTTTAGTATAGATGGGGTTTCATCATGTTGACCAGGCTGGTCTCAAACTCCTAACCTAAGGTGATCTGCCTGCCTCGGCCTCCCAAAGTGCTGGATTACAGGCATGAGCCACTGCGCCCAGCCCTTTTTTCTTATACTTAATTTTATATCATGAACATTTTGTCTTTGTCATTAAATAGTTTTTGAACAATACTTATTTTAAGAGCTCTATAAAAGTTAATCACAGGGATAGATGTGCTCTGATGCAAACTTTTCTGGTAAACTTTTTGTTGTTGGCATTTCGTGAGGGGGCATGTTACAAAACGTATATACAATTGACCCTTTAACAACACAGGGTTTGAACCATATGGCTCCACTTATAGGTGGATTTTGTCAACCAGAAAGTGTTTGTGGGATGCAAAATTTCCATATACAAAGGGCTGACTTTCCATATACACAGATTCCAC